GTTTTTGTTTATATCGATCCCTGTTAAACCGATTTCGACATGTATGCAAAATGATTTAACAATGTTAAATGTGCAATATCTTGTCTTAAAATGTATTACAGAGGTCTAAGTTTATCAGCCTTATATTGATGCCTAAAATAAATGACAACTACGATAAGGTCAGGAAATGAGAACACATTCCTTAATTAAATTTCTGTTTATTCTTTGATATAACTTGACACATCTCTATTTTTCTCGTCACTTTTGTTCCTTATTTCTTATCAATGCAATTATAATGTACCGCAGCGAAGGCAGGGTACAGCTAGTCTATACATCTATACTCTTATACAAATAAATATATTATTTGCATGCAAATATTATCTAAATCGGTCCAGCCGTTTTGAAGAACCAGAACAAACAGACAGACAAAAAATATTTAAACTGGTTTTTAGGTATAGGTATCGTGCAGAAATGTATGTGAGCATGAAAAAACCCTATTATTTGACATTACGTACAGACACTTCAATTTTATTTATTTGTACAGATTGGTAGGAATGGAATAAAATCACAATCACCGATCTTAAATCATATGATTTAGTAATCATACAATCACGTCGGTGACTAATTTATAAAACCACTGCGCCTTATGATTAAGAACACGCTAGTGCCAGCTCGCAAAACGTCTAAATCTTAAAGTTTTAGTTAAGTTCTTAAAGTTAAAGTTTTGATGCCATTTATCTTTGTCGGTGAAATCACAGTGTCTAAGGATTTCATTATGTGATTGTGATTTAAAAGTAGCAATAATATATTGGGAGCAAGTTGTGAGTGTATCACATCATCACATCAACAGGCTTTAGTAGTCCACTGCTGGACGTAGGCCTCCTTAGAAAGGTGGTTTTGGCCTACTATACCACGCTGGCCAGACGGGTTGGTATACGGTTTGTGCAAAGTTTGCAGTGCTGGTGTCCTGCGTTGTTTTGCGCTCTTAGTCGGCTCTTACGACACCCACGGGATGAATTGGGGTAGTGACATTCCGTATTCTTAATCCGTCACCACACGGACATGGGTGTATGTATGAAAGTAATTCTCGTCCGTTGGGTACAGTTCAAGCAATATACCCTATTTTTTACCACTTACACTAAATAATAAACTGTTTAAAGATATATCCTCCTTCTTATATTGTGCTCCATATTGCTGAGGATTGTGACCAGTATAAATTATCTTTTCGATGCTCATCTCCACTTGCTATGGTTTTCAGCAGTCTGGCAGTGTCTGACCTGTCTGCCGCACAAGACTCCTTCCTAATAACCGCTGTCCCTGTATTTTTCCTGCCATCGCTTTTGTTTTTTTCGTGGCTAGGTGGCCGCCCAAGGTCCTAGATCTTAAATACTAATACAAATACATATATTTGAATATTGGGTATGTCCGTTAATCTAATCACGTACAATTTTTGCCCTGACCGATGATTAACGCAGTCTAAACCGCTAGGGCTACGAACTTGAAATTTTGGCAGTTGATGCTTTTTATGTTGTAGGCACCCACTAAGAAAGGATTTTTGGAAATTTCACTCCTAAGGAGGTAAAATAGGGGATAAACGATTGTATGGCAATCACGCGAGCGAAGCTAAAGTAATCATAAAAGCAGTAAATTCATTTATAAGACTACCGTAACTAAATGAATGAATAATATTTCAATTTATAATTTACTGACTTGGGTTGTGCAAACACAATAGCAACAATACGTTGATAAAATCAACTGTAATTAATTACTATATTATGTTAAACATATTCTTGTATTGTTTATGGTTAATGTAGCTTATCAGCTATTACACACATATACATTATTAATGTACATATGTATATCATCATCATCAACAGCCTTTAGTAGTCCACTGCTGGATATAGGCATCTCCTTAGAAAGGTGGTTTTTGCCTACTATACCACGCTGGCCGTACAGATTGGAATAGGGTTTGTTTCAAGTTTTCCTTTTCTTTCCAGTGCTGTTGTCCTGAGTAGTTTGCTCCCTTAATCGGCTCTTACGACACCGACGGGGTGAATAGGGGTGGTAACCTTCCGTATTCTTCAATTGTCACCACACGCACTAGATTGATAGAACAATCAATATTCGTCAAGATAGACAGAAAAAAATCTAAATTTATTTTTAGTTGTAACTGTGCAGTGTAATATTTTTTTTTTCCACAAGGAATCTCAGTCCAGTGGAACAAAGGATTTCTAAATACCTTACGAAAATATCAGTTTCATAACATTTGTTAGCCCACGTTCGTGACTCGCCATAAACGTATAATTAAAAATACCCGTTCAATTGTTATAAGGCTTATCGCTTTAAATAGAGTACGAATAGTCAAGTACCAAATACACAAACAATTATTACATAGTGGACTGGCCTGTTGGTCTAGTGGTTAGTGACCCTGACTGCTACGCCAGAGGGCGTGGGTTCGATTCCCACCCAGGACTAATAATTGTGTGATGAGCACGATCGCTTGTTCTGTGTCTGGGTGTAATTTATCTATAATATGTGTAATATGGCCCAAAACCTCCTTTCTAAGGAGAGGCCTATGTCCAGCAGTGGACTAGTATAGGCTGTTGATGATGATGTTTATCAGCGGTCTGGTTACCATAGTACAGGCTCTGCCTAGTTTGGGATCAGACAGCCGTGTGTGAGATGTATGAAACTATTACTATTATTATTATAGTGTTAAGTTTAAACTGAGCTACTCGTAGTTTTGAATAATAATACGAGTAATTATATTTTATTTCATCTAACACACAACGCCCTCTTGTTTCAAACTAAGCAGAGCTTGTACTATGAAAGCTAGTTGACTGATAGAATACTTATATACTTTTTTTGTAAATACATGCATATTATACACAGAAAATATCCAAACTCCGAAACGAATATTTGCTGATCATACAAACATTTGGTCTGACCCGGGCATTGGTATAGGGCTTCTTTCAAGTTTTCTTCTCTTTGTAGAGCTGTTAGTAATCTATAATTTATTTTATTAATGAGTAATTTTTAGTTTGTTAGTCACTCGATAAGATATCATAAGCCAGATGCGCTTGCTACAGAAATATTGTAATAACGATTAATGTTATTGACCCTGACGCGTTATTTATCAAATAATAATAATAATAACATTTATAAATATACATATAAAGAAGAAGAATTTTGAATTTGATCTTTACACATCTCACACACGGTCACAAACACACACACTGAACCTAAACTAGTTCGTGCCCATCAAACAATTATTTGTCCTGGATGGGAATCTAACCCATGACTAGTAGTCAGGGTTTCTAGCCACTAGACCCACAAACCAGTCATATATTTACAGTATATTTTGTATGTTCGTTAAATGCATATACGTATAAATACAATCCTGCCTTTAGATGCTCGTATATGCAAATATCATAAAACAAAATAAAAAAATCCGGACAAGTGCTAATCGGACTCGCCCACCGAGGGTTCCGTACAAATTTGCAGGTACATATTATAAATAGTTCAGGAGTTGAACCTATAATTACTTATGTTATTGTGTTTCATAAGTGAAATCGTACCTAAATAAAGACTATATTTTTTATGATTTAATTACAAATGTATAGTTTTCAGTTTTTTCCCTGTACTTATAGTATACGTCTACGGGAAGTACCCCATAAATTTTGATTCCCTTGATAGTGTTGAATTATGCGGTATTGGTTTTTTCACAGCTTCAAGAACTGTAGACCTGAGTATATGGTTTTAATTTCAACTCGCTACCTCCAGCCGTTCCCGAGACTAACGCTCTTGACAGACGGACTGATACAACAAAGTGATCCTATAAGGGTTTTTTTTCCTTTTGAGGAACGGAACCCTAAAAAACAAAACGCAGCGTAAACGTAAGCGTAAAAATACATGCCTAAAATTTGCAAACCGGTGACTTTAATTTTTATCCAATTAACACGAATCTAACGACAGCTCAAAGAAATATGTATTGTAATGTTTAACGGTTGACTTGAGTTGATTTCGGTGTTACATGGGTTCTTTTATTTGATATTTAAAGTAATTAAACCTATTAGTGAGTGAATAAGTTTTAACTTAACGATTATTTAAACTAAATAGTTATTTAGTAAAAAGGTGGGTATAAGGAAATGTATAAGGCAACATATTTAAAAACTTAACGTTTTAAACTAAAAACAGGCATTCAATATTTACAATCTAAGAATAAAATTAACTTAATGAGAACGTTAACGTTGTTACCGATCTACACTACACAAATAAATAAAATTGAAGTGTCTGTTTGTAATGTCAAAATTATAGGTTTTGTTCATGCTCACACGGTTATTTGCACGATAACTATGCCTAAAACCAGTTTAAATATTTTTTGTCAGTCTCTCTGTTTGTTCCGGGTATCTACACAACGGCTGGATTGATTTCGATAATATTTTACTACCAGGTAGCTGTCTACATAAGGAATAACTTAGGCTATTTTTCCTCTCATATATAAGGATTTTTAATTCCTTAAACAATCCTGAAATATAGTAGATAAATCAATAAACTATTGCATAACTGGCTTTTGCCCGCGGCTCCGCCCGAGTGTATGTCAGTTATCGCTGTAAAAAGTAGCCTATATTACTCGCTGATAATGTAGCTTTCCATTTTTGTAAGACTCTAAAATCAGTTTAGTAGTTTAGGCGTGAAAACGTAACAAACAAACAAACTAGCTGTTACATTTATAAGTATGGATTTGCTAGTTACGTAAAGATACCATTTTTTGGAGCTTAGTTCTTAAGGATCGATTTTCATAAAGGGCGCGCCAAAAAAAAATGAAGAGTAAAATTTAGTGATCGAATGACCTCGTTACGTTTTTGTGCGCAACCTATCGTGCGCACCTTTCCCATGTGTGTGTATAACTTGTATACTTGGTGCAGTCGAATCGTTCTTAAAAAGTAAACTTCAGTCGTGCGTCGGAGCTGACACACACACTTTTTTTATGTTTATTTTTGTTTGATGTAGACAGTAAGATGTCGGACCCATATATCAGAGAAGCGGCGGAGTCCCTCCTCAGTAGTGTCAGCCCTCACCAAAGGACGTTAAGTAAGTTCCATTATTATTATTTTTTATTATAAACAATGAAATTTAATGTCCCTGTCTTAGGGACTTCTTAGTCCCGCTTCCTAAACGAGACCCGTGGAGGAGCCGAGGGCCGGCTCACAGAACAGCTCTTAAGTAATTTGATTTTATTTATTTACAAACGCATAGATTTTATAACAGGTAGGCACAACATGGACCAACCAAACTGCAATAACAATTCACAAAAAACAATGTGAACTTAAAAATTATTATAAGACTTACAAAAACTTAAAAAAACAGGAAAACAATTCAATTTAGCAACTCCTAAAAGCTTACATTCCTTGTATCTAATGTAACAATTTTTTCCAAAAAAGAAATTTCCTAAGCACAAATTATAAGATCAGATATCTGCCAGAGGGAGTCCCGTTAAAGTAAATCTTCTCATTCTGGAGATTAGCTGGATCAGATAGACATATCTGTCTCGTTGTTCTGGCTAATGTTTTATTTATTTAATTAATTATTGGATATACACAAAAGTACACATTTATATTACACACATAGTGTTGTGAATAGTGAACTCCTTCAGTTACAGCATGCACTAGAATATTTAATACAAAATTAAATTAAAAATAACATAATGAGAGTAACACCAATAAATTAAATTAAAAATTACAAATTATTATACTCAAAAAAGAAGAAAAAATACAACGAATAATAAATGAGAAACTTAAAGAACTTTTTGCAAGTGTCTTTTAAATCGAGGTAAAGATTCGCTAATATCGATACCATGAGCTTTTTTTTGTGCGGAAATTCCCTAGGATACCAACCCCGGGCTGAAACCGACTAAAAACCGTAGGCCGTCTCGTAGAAAGGAAATCCTTGGTACCCCGACCCCGGGCCTGGCGGGCTGTTCTAAACCTCTCCCGGTCCTGCTCCGCCATCTCCTTCGCAAGCATAACTTTTTCGCCGAAGGAGACGGCGCAGTAACACGCACTCACGCTCGGCACCATGGCCGCACGCCTCAAATTTTCACAGCAACGTAATGACCCAGATTAGTTCTAGAAAACGAAATATCAAATAAATTGTAATTGTTTTTCTTGGAAAACGCAAGAGTTTAAAAGCTAGTATGGTACGGAAAGTCTATAATGAAAATCCAAGTAATAATAATGAAATAAAATTTACTGAAATTAAGTCGAAATTGAAACCACGCGATCTTTTATTATTATAAACCAAGCATTTCTTATTTCAGCTCAATCACATTCAGTAAACCTGGTGTCAGACGACCTGGTGGCTGGACACAGACCGCAAGGCAAGATGTCCACGGTGAGGCGGTTTTTCTGCCTGTTCGTCACATTCGACCTGCTATTCACCAGTTTAATGTGGCTCATATGTGTTATGGTACGTTTCAAGTAATTTCATCTTTAATTTCGACGCCATCTATCCAAAACATTCCAAACTACATACACATCACTTGTGATGCTGTATCGCGCAATTGGAGTTCGTGGTTCGACACCATGTTCATGTCACAATGTCATATTCTTACGATTCTGTATAATATTTTGTTTAATCCATTAACTGCTGTTAAGCTCAAAGAACGCTTTACGTTCCTTCATGACACACATTTTAAATGCCCAAGGTGTTCTGGAATCTTGATATTGGAAATATCAAGGCATTCTACCAAGTTTTATACAATATCATTTTCCGTAGAAGCTGTGCGTTTATGGAATGCGTTGTTGGCTTCTATCAAACGTGCGCAATCCGTAACCACCTTCAAAACTGTGCTGTATGACCATTATCCGTCTCTCATAGTTGAAAATTAGTGTAATATGTATATATTTATGTGTATATTACTGTCTGTACATAGACTGTATTTCACTGTATACATGGATTAGTAAAATTTATGTTTGAAAAATATTAAAATATTTCATAAGTAGACCTTTTTATTGCTTGAACTTTTATATATCTATCACCAGTTTAAAATGAATACAGTCCATCCAAAGGTTGGATGAAATATCTCTAAGCGATAAGGCCACCCTCTGTACATTATATTTGTTGTACGATTAATTACTTTAACTAAAGTATTAGGTATCTATCTACAAACACAAAATCTGTGATGCTGCATCGCGCAATCGAAGTTCGTGGTTCGTCACAATGTTGTACGACGCCTTTGTAGTGAAACTGTATTATTTTTTTCAGATAAGAGGAGTAAACTTAGAAGAAATATTTAAATCAGAGATAATTAATTACAATATTAAGAGTTCCTTGTTTGACATCGTAATGGTAGCAGTTAGCAGATTTATAGTTTTGTTGTTGTTCTACGCATTGCTGTATATTAATAATTGGAGTATTATTGCGGTAAGCGAAAACTATTTTTATACCACTAAGTTCGCAAACAATTATCTTCTTCTCAACCATTTGCCGTCTTTTCTTGGCAGTATAATATTAACTGTTATTGTTTGACTGTCCATGCCATGATAGGTCAACATATGCTGAATAAAAGTTGATGAATGTGTCCATAAATCCAGCCGGCACGGTTTGTGAGGATACTGCTAAGTCAGAGGTCGTGGGTTCGATTCCCACCCAGGACAAATAATTATGTGATCAGCACGATCATTTTTTCTGTGTCTGGGTGTAATTTATCTTTCACAAACAAAAACACTTATAAGAAGCCAAACTTACACATTTCGTCGACCACCATTAAGTTAAAGATGATGATGATAATGAAATGATGATGACAGTGATGATATGTTTTTTTTGTTTCAGCTATCTACAGGGTGTACGTGTGCATTTTTAATAGCAAAAGTATTCGTTTACGATGTAAGTACATAACTGTGAGCCAAAAATCTTTGTTAGAAAGTCATTCAAATTTACAGAAGTCTGTATTCTTCATCCTTAGAGGCCTTTAGAGATGGATTTTTTTTTTCCAATTTAAACGGATGGTCTGTTAAGAGCTAATTCATTTAAAAAAAAAGTATTATTGAATGTCGTTTACCAATGGCGAAAACTATACTAATACATACACAAAAAAAATTCTGCGGAATTCAGAATCTCTTAAAGATCAATTTTCGTAACAAAAAATCGTTCAAAATTCATTTTCGATCGACTCTCGATCTCACAAATTGTTATAAAAGGTATTCTCGTAGTAAAATATGAAACATCAAACGTTGACTGTAATGTGATTATATATGACTTGTATTTAGATCCTAAATTGTTGTAACTATCCATGTATGTGTAAGTCTATTTAGTATGTATTATTATAGATACCAGCACTATCTTCTTTCTACATGTAGAAGCTTGTAACATCATATGTATTTTGTAAATTTAGCCGTAAGCTCCCCAAATAAAATAAAATGATCGAAAGTCGAATCGGTATTCTGCTAGTCATACTTTACCACTTTAATACGTGAATGCCTTTTTTGACGTTTGTGAGATCGAGAGTTGATCGGAACTGATTTTTGAACGAATTTTTATTACGAGAATTGACCTTCTGTTTTTTGAAGTCGGTTAAATATACAATAATGTAAATACATCCCTATGCTGCATGCATCTGGATTTAGTCTGTATGGTATTATATATATATATTATATTAGATATATATATAATGTATATATATATATATATATATATATATATATATATAAACCTTAGAAAGGAGGTTTATGTACAGCTTTGGACTATTAGAAGCTGTTGATAATGATGATGGTATAGTTTAATTAGACTATCGATTTTCAACCATTACAGCATTCACAGCCCACTTTTTAATATATTTTTGTTGCCCAACAGTGGCCCCACGCTGCGGAGCCGGTGTACCAAGTATTCTTAATACTAACATCGTTTACACTCGCTTGGGGCGAAGCGTGGTTCCTGGACTTCAGGGTGCTTCCTCAGGAGTTACAAGCCAAACAGATATTAGAAACTATCGGTGAGAAAATTATATCACAACTGATTATCATGAATGATTAACACAAATTATTCGTGTGGTGACGGATTAAGAATACGGAGTGTCACCACCCCTGTTCATCCCTTGGGTGTCGTCAGAGCCGACAAAGGGGGTAAACTACGCAGGACAACAGCACTTCAAAGAGAAGGAAAACTTGGCACAAACCCTATACCAACCCATCTGGCCAGCCTGGTACAGTAAGCCAAAACCAAAGGTTTTGGCCTACTGTACCAGGCTGGCAGGTAGGAGAGGCCTATGTCCAGCAGTGGACTACAAAAGCCTGTTGATGACAACTCCATATTAACGGTATCTCTCAAATGCCTCTCTTTCCATAGTTCATCACGGAGGTGGTGCTTCTGAGCGAACTCCCCTCCTGCATCCGGGGTACGCATCAGGACCCCACCACTCCAACTATGCGGAGTCAACCGTGAAATGGTTCTCTCCCGTAGAAACACCAGAGTCGAGTCCACGGCCGAGAGTACCTGGAGAACAGATCATATTGACAACAGACCAGGTATGTCTATGTAACTGATATTTTGTTACCGTAGGGGACGGAGTGCTTTTGGTTATGTGTTTAGAGTATACATAAATATGTATGTATGTATATACACATATCTTTGGCAAGGTAGTCTAAACGGCTTGTTCGACGATGAAAAAATATATTTTTTTTTATTAAAATTGCCAGTTTGTACATTTCAAATAGTTGTACACACCATTTTACTTACTCGAGTTTATTGTTTTTAGCTGATTAAATGTTCTAGAAGTGTACCTACGGCAATTGAGAGCTATGTTTCGTTACATAAGAGAGATGAAATATGTCTTAAAGGGAAATAGAAAGAGAGCCACATATCCTGATGTCACTAGTTCTCACGGGTACAATAAAAGAATTGATAGATATTGCCCTGCTTTACTACCTTAATGCCTTAGCCATTATCTACCAGAAAAAAGCACCTGTAAACTAAAAAGTAAATAAGCAACACCATTTGACGGAAAAATGCACTTTTCGCTTTGAAATAAAAATAATTCTACTTATTTTAATATCAAAATATGACAAAACAAGGTTTTGATTTCACAAGCATTTTCTTTTTTAATTAAAAAAATATAGTGGCATAGTGGTTTAAGCGGTCGCCACGCCGCTCCCTACTACGCCGAGTGTTGTGGGTTCAACACACATATGACGACATTTTGTGTGATCCACAAATTGTTGTTCTGAGTCTGGATGTCCTTTATGTCCGTTTCATGTGTGTTACAAACACACCAGTCCCCGCGAGACAGGATATATTTCTAATGCGGGCGTTGTCTTAAAAAACAATAAGTGAAAACTTGAAAATTGTTATTTTTTACTATAAAAGTATTTCTTTTGTTTTTTTTCGAAAAGTTCTGACAAGAATATATGTCTATGTTGTACGTATATACACAATATATTTTCACATAATATATAGGTGGTTATTATATTAATGTATTTCAACCCAAACTCAACTCTCGTGGAAACGGGGTCAATATATGTAGATACTTATAAACAACTTCTATTTCGGTCGGTAACGGCATTTAGAAGAAAAATATTCTTTTGTTTGTTGTTCAAAAATGCCCAACGCGCCTAAAGAAGTTTTTACTTTAAATATAAACTATCTGATGGTAAGTGACTACCGCCACCCATGGAAACATACAGCTCACTCAGCAACATACAGTCACAAGCGTGTCGCAGCCATCCGATTACCGCCCCCCTTACACCTAACCTGACCCGGGTTATGCCAGCTACGGAAACCTCACTCACTCTGTATGTCAGTAAACCGGTTTTCTGTATGACCGTGGAGCGTTAATCATTTTTGAGAACTGGTATTAGATAAAATTATTATCTTTTATACCTTTTGTGGTCTCCCTTTTATATTAAAGGGGTAGCAAAATCTAACACACTGCCCTTAACAAAGCGTGCCATAAGGGGCTGATGTAAAGTCAAGATGAGGATGAAGCGAGAAATTTGCATGAGAGACGGCATGTATTCAGAAGCACTGCTCTTTGAATGAGTGTGAGGGTTGATTTCGACATTTCCAGTGTGTTAAGGCTATCTTGAAGAGTCTTCTTTTAGTAGCCTTGGAACCAGGTGTACTCTAGGAAGCCAATTCCTGGTACTCCGACAAACCACGAGCCATCTACGGCTTGTAGATGACCCCTGGCTGAGGCCTGGTCAGAGAATCCTCCTTTTTGTGTTGGAGATCACCCTCATTCCCCTACTGTAATAATAACAGTAAATATAAAAACACAACAAAAAAACCACATATTATAATAGCAAATAACAAAAAGAATAAATAAAGTAAATTATCTCGTATAAATACTTGTATACGTATAAGTTGTAAACTTATACATATGTATGTGCCGTGGGAGAATCATGCCACAGGAAGCCCAACTTCTTCCCTCTCCTCCCCCCCTAACCCTGGGCAGGGGGGACTCTTCAAGACTGGCAACTCAATTGTGACTTTTGAGTCAAGTGTCAATCGGCGGCGGTTGTCACTTACCATCAGGTGACCGGCCCTCTCGCAAATACAATTAAGTAAAGGCACCGCTGATTAAATGCCTCTAATCCTCATTAAGAAACATTCAAGCAATGATGTCAAGTGAATGACGAATGGTCAATTGAATTTAATTGTCCACTGATTGTTTTGTCCTCGAGTTAGTTCTGACGAACTTTGTACCTAGAATGATCTATATGACAATGATGGACTTCCCTATATCCCCAAACAGGGCTCCGCACTTGTCTCCTGTGTAGCTTGTCTCCATGTGTTGCGGTAGACTTGTTGGCTATTCATAACGCCACCCACCTTTCTGCAACCCCTATATATAAATACTAGCTTTTGGCCGCGGCTCCGCCCGCGTAAATGTCGGTTATCGCAGTAAAAAGTAGTCTATGTCTTTCCTGAAGAATCAAAGTATCTTCATACCACATTTAAATCGGTTCAGCGCTTATAGATTCCCCATACAAACTTCCACCCCCTTAAAGGATGATTTCTTTGATAAAAACTACTCTATATCCTTTCCCGGGATTCGTCGATCGATCTCTGTGCCGAATTTCATCTAAATCAGACAGACAGACAGACACACTTTCGCATTTATAATATTAGGATGGATTTTTGCAGTATGCGGGACTAAAACCTGCTACCGTTGAAGCTGGAAATATCACTGCTGTGTTATAATTCATTATGCGTTGTAATTTGATACAAAAACGAATAATGATACGAGACATCTCACACACGGCCGTCTGATTTCAAATTAGGCAATGTCCGTATATTGGTAACGAGACTGCTGATAAACATACTTATACATATATTTCTAAATATATACATATTAAAGATAAATTACACCCAGACACAGAACAAATAATGATCGTGCTTATCATAAAATTATTTCTAATTGGGGGGAAACGGAACAACGGCGTCAGTTCTCGTTATAAAAATTCGTTCAAAATTCTGTTTCGATCTACTTTCGATCTCACAAATGTCATGAAAGGTATTCTCGTAGTAACATTTCTATTAGCAGAATACCGATTAAACTTTCAGTCACAATACGATGAAATCACATTGAAGTCAACGTTGGATCTGTACTTTACTTCGAGACTTAGCTATACTAACGAGCCATGACCTGAAATAACATAGTGCTTGTCCTCCCAGAGTAGGGCACCTGAGGCCGGCCGTCGGTGTGGTTTTTAGTGGAACCACCACATTCTCCTGGCTCCTGAGGCCCCGAGGAAAAGGAGATCCGATTGGATTTTCCACACCGCCAACAAAAAAAAGCTATACCAACGGGCCAGTCAAAATTAAAAAAAAAAACGATATTAATTCGTTACTTTACACAAAGAATAATTGCGGGCATCAATCACTATTTTGTCCTTGTATTGGCCAAGCTTGGAACTTCACCGTTACCTATCAGTGAAGGCGGCGCGCTCCCACGAGACGGTTCCGCTACGGGTTTTTTCGTTACCTGTATTCAAAAGTCGTATCACACAATTCAGTTTAATAGTGAATATTTTAAAGTATAGTTATTCTATATGTGTGTGTGTTTTTAATGTTCCAATACTCCGACTAAGACAATTCTCTTTTTTTCGTGCTACTTTATTACTAAACTAGCCTTTTCCCGTGGCTTCGATCGCGTTTTTTCAATCAATTTTTCCGGGATAAATAGTAACATATGTGCTATTTTAGACTGTTTTCCATCTCTGTGCCAAATTGAATCCAGATTTCACATCAACAGCCTCTAATAGTCCACTGCTGGACATAAGCCTCTCCTTAGAAAGGCGGTTTTGGCCTACTATACAACGCTAGCCAGACGGGTTGGTATAGGGTTTGTGTCAAGTTTTCCTTCTCTCTGCAGTGCTGTTGTCCTGCGTAGTTTTTTCCCTTAGTCGGCTCGCAAACCCCGGAGGGGTGACGGTCCGAGGGGATTTCCACACGTTAAAAAAAAAAAAAAAAAAAAAAAAAAAAAAAAAAAAAAAAAAAAAAAAAAAAAAAAAAAAAGGGTTTGTGTGTGGGCCGGAACTCCCCCGTGGGATTTGGAGGCGGAAGTGCTCGCCGAAGTTTATCGGCGAGTGGCTGACTTCCGGGCGGACAGCGGATTTCGCCCTCCGCCCGAGGATGTGCGCGAGTGGCGCGAAGCCGCTCGCCGAGCCACGATGGCTCGTTGGTCGTTCCGGCTGGAGACTCCACGCGCTGGCTTCGCCGCCGTGGAGGCTCTCCAGCCGGTCATCGCCGAGTGGGCAGGGCGGCAGCACGGGACCCTTTCCTTCCGGCTGACGCAGGTGCTTTCCGGGCATGGTTGCTTCGGAAAGTACCTGCACACGGTCGCTAGGAGGGAACTGAGTCCCGCCTGCCACCACTGCGACTGCAGTGAGGACTCGGCCCAGCACACGCTGGCGGTCTGCCCCGCATGGGCGGCGCAGCGCCGGGCCCTCACTGCAGTCATCGGAGTGGATCTCTCGCTACCGGCCGTAGTACGCTCCATGGCCGGTAGCGACAGTTGTTTTACCGCGGTCGCAACCTTCTGCGAGGTAGTAATCTCGCGGAAGGAGGCGGCGGAGAGGGCCCGGGAGGACGACCTCCACTCGGACCCGATCCGCCGCCGGCGAACCGGGCGGCGGAGGCCCGCCTACCACAGCCTCATGCCGCCCTGAGTGTGGCCGCGGGTGGACGGGGTGGGTTTCCCCTCCACCCGCATTAGTTTGGCCAGCCGCGAGGGGGCGGCGTCCGCGTGTGCCGGACGCCGCCTAAAGAGAGGAACAATATCGAGACGGAGCCCGCACCAGGAGCGGGCTGGCGCTAGGAGGGGTCCGGATGTCTTAACAACAGCTGTTCCCGGATCCCTCCTGTTACAGGCGCAGAGTGGCACACCGTGTGGTTTTAGTCGGTCCGAGTCCGACACACCACCCCGCCGCAAACCCCGGAGGGGTGACGGTCCGAGGGGATTTCCACACGTTAAAAAAAAAAAAAAAAAAAAAAAGGGTTTGTGTCAAGTTTTCCTTTTCTCTGCAGTGCTGTTGTCCTGCGTAGTTTACTCCCTTAGTCGGCTCTTACGACACCCACGGGATGAATAGGTATGGTGACAGTCTGTATTCTTAATCCGTCACCACACTGATAACCACCACACGAATCCAGATTAATACAGCCTTTTTTGCGTGATTATAAAAAAAAAAAACCATCAAATAAATAAATAGGAAATTAAATGAGATTCCTTTTGCTGAGATATAAATATATAGAGATATATACACGGTGATTTTGAAAGCGTTTTGGAAAAGAAAATTTTGAGTTATTTATCAGTAACAGAAGCTATATATAACGTTAATTTAATAAAACATATATATTTTTATCATCAAAGTCGATATTCATATCGATTACAGAGAAAAGGTGAGAACCAGTAGTAGGGCTTTTCAATCGCAAGTAGGTAAATACTACGAATAGAAATACTATACTCACGCGCAAGGTCAAGGACGTTTAAATTATTATTCCTTATACCTGGACAATGAGTTAAGTGATCGGTGGATAGGTCGAGGAGGGCCAGTGCCTTGGCCACCTAGAAGCCCGGACTTAACGCCCCCTTTTTTTTTTTTTTTTTATTCCGTGCGGAAATCCCCTCGGATACCACCTGTCGGTGGCATGTCGGACTCGAACCGACTAAAACCGCACGCCGTCGCCTAGTACTAATAGCCGGGGAACCAGGTATACCCTAGAAAGGAAGTCCCTGGTGCCCCGACATACCTCGGGTCATCTACAGACTAGTAGACGACCCCCCCCGTGTGGGAACCCCATGTTCCCTGTGCTCCCTGGAAGCGAGCGCGCTTCGCAACGCGCTCGCCGCCACCCCGGCCTGCTTCTGCTAGGGTGACAGATGGCCTCACCTGTCACCCCCAGGCCTGCGCTTATGGAGGATGGAGGTCGTTCTGCGACCTCCGGCGCCTGAGTCGCCTGCGGTGCCTGGCCCGTTCCCGGGCCTGGCGGGCCGGGAGAGTTCTAAACCTCTCCCGGTCCCGCTCCGCCGTCTCCTTCGCGAGCATAACTTGCTCGCAGAAGGAGACGGCAGAGTTCCACGCACTCTCGCTCCGCACGATAGCCGCAATCAGGCTATCGAGCGAGAGAACTCCCACTCCGATGGCCGCCACGAGGTCTCGCCTCTGCTCAACCCACGCCGGGCACTCTGCCAGCGTGTGGAGAGCCGTGTCCACGGTCTGGCCATCGCAGTGGTGGCACTCAGGCGTTGGCTCCTTGCGGATCAGACACAGGTGATCTCCGAAACATCCCTTCCCAGTGATCACCTGCGTCAATCGGTATGAGAGGGTCCCGTGACGCCTCTCGAGCCAATCCTCCATAACGGGTCTTACCGCCGCGATGACGGCGTGCCCGGGACTTAACGCCCCTGGATTTTTTCTTATGGTCAGAAATAAAAATACTTGTTTATACACGGGAATATGAAAGCCGTGATAATTTACGCATTGCGATAGTGGACGCTTTTGATAAAGTGAAAAGTGATAGAGACACATTAAGAAAATTAAAAAAATAATTGCATTAAACGTGGACGTTTGTGTATTGAATGCAGCGGACTCCATTTTGAGCAGTTGCTTCGATACAGAGAAGTGTAAATAGTGTAAATAAACTGTAAATAGGTATGTAAGTTAATTATTCTGTAGATAGCTCCGATTTTTTAAATACGCTTGAAATATTTATACCTACAGTCCGTTGATAAATTGATTTGATGTGAAAAGAACAATCGTGGTTAATAATCGAAAAGAAGTTTAAATAAAAAAGGTATTTCCGACGATCCTAAGCCCGTGTAAAGTATGAAGGACAAATTGGAGTCTATCTACGTAAGTACTCGCTAGCTCGCGCCTATAGGTATAGTTTTATCAGCTGCTGTTAGCGTCAGCGGTGCGCAGCGGCCGCCGAAACGCCCACGGACGTGTTTCATTCATATAAGATAATGAATGAATGATCAGTCCATTACTACTTTCCAAGTCGATCGAGTAAAAATGAATATTAAAACTGAAACTTTTTTTTAGACAACATTACAATTGATTTAATCATTTTTATTGGTACTATAGATGATTCCAAATTAAAATGTTTCGTTTCCAAAACGCCTAAAAAATCACCGTGTATATAGAGATATAATTTACAAAGTTTAGGATTCGTGAAGGCTACAATACTACATTGTATTCTGAATAGAATGGTTGACAAGTATATAAGTATAAGTTAAAACATAATTCAAATCGATAATAACGAGATTTATGACATCAGAAGTAACTGTCACGAAGAGTGAACTTTTTTTAAAAATATTTTACCACATTCACACAACGCCATTTAGTCCCAAACTAAGCAGAGCTTGTACTATGGGTACTAGACAACTGATATAAATACAAATATACTTTTTTTGGAATTAAATATTATACATAGAAAACACCCAAACCTCGACACAAATTTTTGCAGAACACGCTATCACTGCACCACGAAGAAGTGAATCAGTATGTTTATCAGCAGTCTGGTTACCATAGTACGGGCTCTGCCTAGTTTGAGATCACACAGTCGTGTGTAAGATATGTTTAGTTATTATTATAGGTGTCCAATATATATTTTGACCTGTAATGGGTATGAAAGTCCACGTTACAATGATTTAAATCGTCACAGAACAAATAATCATGCTCATCACACAAACATTTGTCTTCGGTGGGAATTGAACCCACGACCTCTCGCTTAGCAGTCCGTATCATTAAGCACTAGACCAATAAGCTCGTCGTTATTCCTCCATAAATGTTCTCTCCAACATAAGAAGAATCATTCAAATTTGACTGATAGTTACAGAGATAAGAATATTTGAACAACACAAACAAAAAAGTCATAACCTTAATTATTTACTCAGTTAACGTTACTATTATTATTTTTCTTTTTTTAAAAGACAACTCCCGCACTAGGAATAAATCCTGTGTCGCGGGGGACAAAAAACATACATAAACCGGACACAAAGAACACCCAGACTCAGAACAACAATTTGTGGATCACACAAAGTATCGTCCCATGTGGGGATCGGACCCACAGCACTCAGCGTAGTAGTGAGCGGCGTGGCGACCGCTTAAACAGTTGCAAGCGTTTATGGCCGAAGGTAGTCGCTTTCCATCCTTACAATCCAGTCGAGAATTCTAACTATTTTTGATAGAAATGTGTACAACGCGCGTGGTTAGTATGTCGGCATGGTCAAAAACAAAAATCTGTCATAACTTGTCATATTTAAACCCCAAACCTATCAGAAAATATAATATCAGTTTCAGTTAGGGATAGATTTTTATTTCAAATATCCGTAAGCTTCTATTACGGTTACGGAGCTCTATAAAATCCCTAGTTGAAATTTGCCTTTTCTTTCTTTAGTATACATACGTATGAGTATATTAAACAAATTGGCTACGTTTAATTCATGTTTCTGATGAATCATTTACGTTATTGTGTAGGATAAAACGTATTATTAAGATTTTCACATCACAGCACATTAATTTAATTTTTGTATTCATATTTACATTTTAAAAATGTAAAACATTGTCACTAGGACAACGGATCGACATATTTGTTATTTGTCAATTGTTGTTATAGGTATTGTATACAGACAAATAGAATTAGGTGATACAAAGTTCACCGAGTTATCTATACAAATAAATAAAATTGGAATGTCTGTTTGTAACATTAAAATAACCGCTTTTTACTAAATGCATATGTATGTTTACACGGTACATATGCCAAAATAACATTTTTTACAATTTTTGTCTGTCTGTCTGTTTGTCTGTCTGTTTGTTCCGGGTAATCTCTGGAACGGCTGGACCGATTACGACGGGACTTTCACTGGCAGATAGCTGATGACATAAGGAGTAACTTAGGCTACATTTTTTAGACTAGCTTCGCCGTTATAACAACAAACGCGGGTAACACCGCGGGTCTCAGCTAGTCTCGTATATAAATATTAACGGCAACGGGGTTACCCTCTAATATTTAACGGACTGAAATTATTATAAATCGAAATGTTTTAGCGTGAGTACATGTAAGTAGGAAAGCACAAGACCTATAATCATTAACAACCTTTAATAGTCCATTATATGGGTAAACTAAGGGATGAAGTGGTTGTAAAGAAGTTCGTCATTTTAAATAAAACTAATCAAGAGAGTAAAGTATAAACCTAGAAATCTAATCTATTCCTTACCATTTAGCGATCGATCTGCGTTATTGAAAGCCATAATTTTTATATTACAAGCTTAACCATAAATTTCACTTAGAATTGTCAGAAACCAAATAAAAAGTGTTAAAAAATAATTAGAAAAGCAAAAACGCTATAAAAACAAAATGGCCGCTGCCCTCCCGTCAACTGTCACAATGAAAGAGATCGAAGAACATCTGGAGGAAGTTAACAATGCGGATAGTCCGGAAGAATATGAAAGTAGACTGGCAAAGATCGGTATTACAATGTCCAACTGGATGAAACTGCTGTTTAATACGTACGAAGAGGAGTTTCATGCTGAATGGCTCACGGTTAGTACTCATCATCCTCCGAGCCTTCTTCCCAGGGGTCGGCTTTTAAGTTTATTGTACGATACGTCTCAACTTCAATCTTTTACTCGAAGTGACTGCCACCAGTGCTTTAACCCAATCACCAGGCGATATCGAAGTTCTATAGAAATACTGTTGTTGGACTTTTTAGGGTTACAACTACCAGTAACGATTGCCTCTGATGTTCTCTTTTTTTCTGATGTTCGTATGGCAACCGGGACCGACGTATTAAGAATTGTCACTCATCCATAGACTGACCTGGTTAAGATTGCCTAACTTTGCAATGTGTTAACTTATTCGATGACCACTTAGCCACGAGCCGCTCCTTTTTCCTTTCAGTTTAGTACTCACAAATAATAGCAATTTTAAAGATAGCGACCTCAATCGGCTTAATTGAGCGTTATCTCATACTGACTGGATAAATTCGGCAAAACTTAAGTCTTTTGTAAAATTACTAGTGTATTTGCTATTATTTTCTATCTGAAAAACCGGGATGTTACAAAAGATTAGCAAATATTTTTCAATTCGTTGCTCATCCCACAGGAACATTACATTTTTCGGGACAAAAAGTAGCCTATGTTTTAATTCAGGTCGGCAAATTTTACAAAAGTAGTACAAAAGTAAAAAAATACATGTTTTTCTTCTTCTTATCGTGTCGATGGCATTTGGCCCAGTGTATTACCTCACTTATTTTTCGTTTTATTTTTTGACCTTTTCTTACCCACTTTATTTTAATTAATATTTTGTTAATTGTTAATGCTACCCATATCGTCATGATCGTAAAAAAAAATGTCGATTTTGAAAAAAATACGAAATTCTGTTTTTAATATATTTGGATACTACATTGTCTAAATATTATTACTACATTCAAGAAAAAAGTATATGTATGTTAGATTTTAAATTATTCAGTGTTTGTTTGATAGGCGCTCAAAGTAAAATGAAGCATGTAATTTTTCTAGAAAATTGTAAAATTATGATTTGTTATTTCTATTGCGTTTTAAAACAAACCCTATTTTTTACTTTTACTGAGGGCATACTGAAAGTTTCTGGATTCTGATAAATAAGACTAGATATAAGACTTACGATACATTTATTGATTTTCAAAGTATATTCCTCCGCAATTAATGCATTTTTGCATTCGCTGAAACCACTGTACAATGCAGTTGGACCAGTCTTTTTTTTTACGTCTGGAAACCCCTTCGGGCTGTCGTCGTTTTACCTCTGCGCTAGTGACTCCGTGATTCGTTGACTAGTCCAAGATTGATTGTGAAATTTCTTTGTCCACAGATCGATGAGTATAAGAGTCAAGCAGAGGAGAGTATGATGAATGCGTGGCGTATTGTGAACCTTCCAAACTGGACCCTGGAAAAGAAGGGTTCGCGCAAAGGTGACGTGGTGGAATCCAAGAAGACTGAACAATTTGGAAAGGTGTATAGGTTTACTGTATGTATAATTTGTATAATTCTTTTATGTATAATTCTTTATGTATAATTCTTTATATTTAAAATTGAATTAGGTTTTAAGCACAGTGGGCAAACGAACAGGGTCTCAATTCTGCTATTTTAATATTGTATCAATAGACTGTCGTCGGAATAGTTTTGCACTTTTCCCATTCTACTAACTATGTAAGACCAATGGCCTCCCGATGACTTGTCACTGATACAAATGTCTTCGATGTCTTTGTAACAGATTGGTAAACGGTACATTTCAAATTTGTAAGAAAATTATAAATTTTACTTTCCAGGTATGGCAATATTGTAGATATTACCATTGATTACCTATATTACCTACTATATCGACAGTCTATTGAATTTATATTGTTAGAATACTGATATTTTGACTTAGCTTGGCGTTAATATAAAATAGCAAAATTGAGGCCGAGATGGGTCATCTGTTGGTAAGTGACTCTCTCCCCCTATGGACTCCTACAACCCAAGAGTAACCTCACTAACATATAAAAAGTGTTGGGAATTTTAAAAATTAGATTCGATTAATTAAGGGCTTAATGAATTTTAGCTTGGGAGGTGTCGTCAGATTCCTCCTAATTGTGAGAGTAACACTGGGTAATATGAAAATCAAAAAATTTAAATCGTTGGTTATTTAATTTTAAGTTGGGATACATTTTTACGCAGTTGGGTTTTTGTTTTCAAAAATAAGCTTTTATTCTTACGTATGTACAGCCTTGGCCAAAAGTATTAGGCACCCTACATTTTACTTAAAATAAAGGAAGAAAAAACAACTTATACTTTTTGAATTTATTTATTACCATTAAAATTCACAAAAAGGAATGAAAAAAACTTAAATTCTAGTCGGTCCACCTTTAGATTTAATTACTGCACTAATTCTAGCTGGCATGCTGCGTACAAGCTTAGTACAATCCTCCCTTGTAATGGCATTCCATTCTTGTACTAACGCATTTTTTAATGCCGTTTTCGATGTGATACTATGCTCTTTAATCATGCGCTTCAAAATGCTCCAAAGATGTTATATTGGGTTCAAATCTGGTGACTGCGCTGGCCAATCAAACAAGTCAATGTTGTTTTCAGTAAACCAACGCATCGTAGTCGCTGACTTATGTCAAGGTGCATTGTCTTGCTGGAATATAACTCCCTCTAAGTTGGTATCGCCGAAAATACTCGTTAGCGAAGGCATAAGCGCAGTTTCAAGCACTTTTATGTACTTTTCGCTGTTCATTAGTGTTCATACGACCTTCGCAAACAAACATTTCGCCAACCCCATCAGTAGCCATGCAGCCCCAGATCATTATGCTGCCTCCATGCTTTAGTGTCGGTACGACGCAATCTGGATGGTATTCTTCGCCAACACGTCGCCTCACAAAGGTCACACCTGGCGTTCCAAATATCTGTTGAAAAAAAAAACACTTTTTTTAAACTGCCTTAACTTTTATTATTTTAGTTAAATAAATAACTGTCCTCGATTATTAATAACAAAAGCAGTAAAATTTACTTACCTCAAAGTTAGATTCGTCAGACCATACCACATTGGCCCAATCTTCCTCAGTAAAATGTTGATGCCGTAGAGCCAATTCAAGTCGTTTTCTTTTGTTAGCTTCTGAAAGCCAGGGCTTCTTCCTGGCTTTGCATCCTTTTAAGCCTGCTTCTCCAAGTCTTCTGCTGGTGGTCCGAGCACTTATTGGCTTTCCAGCCTCTTCGGACAAAGTAGCAGCAAGCTCTGATGATGTTTTCTTCCGATCTTTCATAGATTCGCGTATTAATTTTCTACCCTCGCGCTTCGAAGTCACACGTTTTCTGCCTGTTCTTGGTTTATTAGCGTGACTACCAGTCTCAGCAAACCGTTTGATAGCAGATTGCACAGCGCAACGCGAACATTTCACTAACTTAGCAATTTCTTTTTGCGACTTCCCTTGTTCATGGAAAAGTTGTATTTTTACTCGGTTTTCCAAACTAATTTCACTTCTTTTCGGCATTTTTAAATAAATTACTCGTCAATTTAATCACTATGTTAGAAATAAAAGCTTTGTTTACTCGTTAGAGTCCTGAACACAAGTGACCAAACATTGACTGATAAGAACGCATAAAAACAAATCCTTTGTTTTCAGTCACCAGGTGTTTTATGACCATAACAGATAGCTTCTTGTTTTTCTAGGAAGTTATTTGTGACCCCGGCATACCATCTAAGATAAGCATTTATTCATTGTTCAATCAGTAAACATGAATTGTGCATTTTTCTGGGGTTCCTAATACTTTTGGCCAAGGCTGTATGTTTATGACTGCGATTTTCTTAAGAAATATAAGTACAATTAACATGAATACTTCGCCAACGTATTATACATATTTTCAGTAAAGTTTTTAAGTTTTTACAATAATACATTCACTTTATTTTAATTATAAAAAATCTTTGAAATAAGTTCATTTCCTTTCGTTTCGTTTCAGGGCTCAGTGGAATGTCCTTCTAAGTTCCTGTACGAGGAGTTCAGAGATAACCTCACAAAACTGCCGGAATGGAACCCCACCATTTTGAAGAGTGAAATTATTAAGGTATGGAACTATTATGGTCACAACACTATGATTATTGCATGTTAGATAAGCAAGGGCAGGACTTGACTTTAAGCTACGATGGTTTAATGAAAGAAGAATAAAGGTGGATAGGGAGTCTTCCTTTTTCTAGGGAATAGGGAAACAAAAAAAAATTATCCGTGTGGTGACGGATCAAGAATACAGAGTGTCACCACACCTATTCATCCCGTGGGTGTCATCAGAGCCGACTGAGGGAGCAAACTGCTTAGGAGAGCAGCACTGCAAAGAGAAGGAAAACTTAAAACAAACCCTATACCAACCCGTCTGGCCAGCGTGGTATAGTAGGCCGAAACCTTCTTTCTAAGGAGCGGCCTATGTCCAGTAGAGGACTATTAAACGCTGTTGATGATGATGATGGTGATAAGGGGCGCAAATTAACAGACAAGTTTCCTGATGGTGGGTGACTACAGCCGCCCATAGCACCTGCAGTTCAAGAGTCATAAGTACGCACTTAATTTTTATCGTTTTGTTTTATTTAAGTGCTTTAGTTTTGGATGTATTATCTCAATGTCTTTTGTGCAGTTTGTGTTGTATGTTTACTATTTCGTCATTATTGTTTTTTTTTACATAATGTTAAGATTTAATATGAATATTATTGTGAATTTGAATATAAAAAGCATGTTTACTTAGCCTATTCTATTCTAGGTCGATTAATAAAAATTAATACGCACAAATCTCTGGTTATAAGTTATAATTTTTCTATTAGGAAATAGGGCCAGGTATCGACCTCTCTTACCAAGTGACTGCTGGCGGCGGCCGAGGCATCATCACGCCAAGAGATTTCATCATCCTCCGACGTGCGGCAGCTCTGTCACAAACTGGTTCCGTAGTAGATGCGAATGAGAACCCTCACTGCTACATCAGCTCGGGTATTAGCGTCGCTGTGCCAGGATATCCTCCCAATAGGGATCTTGTGAGGTAAGTGCTGTCAGGTTTCATTACATGCATGTGTTCGTGGGGCTTCCCCCCTTACGGCTTCCCTAGAATATTTTTATTTATTTTATTTAGTCATTTATACCATACTTGCTGACCCTGCAAAGGTTGTTTTGCTATTTACATTATTTACCAAATTTTTTCTTTTTTTTTAATTTCTTAAAATCCTTTCTTAGCTGACCTCTACTCGGTGAAAAGAATATTCCTACCAAATTTCAAGTCTTTATCTCTAATGGTTCCAGAGATATCGTGATGAGTGACTATATAAGTGGAAATCTCTTATATATATATATAGACTATACATTATTATCACAGAAATCCCAATACAATAATGCAAGACTTACAAAAAAACAAACAAAACTATGATAAAATACGTAAACACATACAATTAAAAACTAGAGCTAGTCAGTACGTAATATATGGGCCCTTGTGAACTCTTTAAGCGAACACGGAAAAATATCAACATGATCCGACAGTTCCGACACCAAATTGAGAGCAGCAGATTGGTGCAGTTAGGCCATATCCCAAGCGTGGGGGACCGTAAAGTCACATGGTCAGAGTCCTCCCTAGAGTAGGCCGCCTGAGGCTGGTCGTCGGGATGATTTTCTTGCAAATACCACATACCTGGGTCTTGCAATGCCACGATGACCTTCCCAAGAAGCTGGAGAACCGAAGGAATTTCCCTCAAAAAGAAATACGTTAATAATTATTTGCTAAGAACCTTGACTGACATCCTCGAGGCTTACATCAGGTCGCTAGATGAAAGGCCGGATGCAGAAGGAAGTCCTTCTCGATGTGTAACTTATTACCAGTAGGTTTCTTTCTAGCACACACCCCTGTAATTCAAACTGGTTGTGCTATAAACTCCGCGCCATTTAACAGGATATATATGAATAAAGTTATCTAGAAGAGATCGTGGCTAAGTGGTTATCGAATAGGTTAACACATTGCAAAGTTAAGCAATCTTAGCCAGGTCAGTCTATGGATGGGTGACCATTCTTAACATATTAAGACCCCCCCTCCGTGCCTCGGAGAACACATTATGTCGTCGGTCCCGGTTGCCATAGGAATATCTGTGGCAATCGTTACGGGTAGTTGGAACCCTAAGAAGTCCAGTCTTTCTATAGAACTTCTATATCGCCTAGAGCCTATTTGGGTTGTGGAGGTCTGATGGCAGTCGGCAGTAAAAAGTCCAAGTTAAGCCGTATCGTAGTAGACTTAAAGCCGACTCTAACCCAGTTTGGGAAAAGGTCTCCAAGGAAAAGGAGGATATGGAGTCTTCTGGTCACTGCTGTAAGGGATGAGTTTTTTTTATAAATTAAAAATACAACTCCCGCATTAGGAAAATATCCTGTGTCGCGGGGGACTTTACAAACATACATGAAACGGACATAAAGAACACCCAGACTCAGAACAACAATTTGTGGATCACACAAAGTGTCGTCCCATGTGGGGTTTGAACCCACAACACGCGAAGTAGTAGGAAGCGGCGTGGCGACTGCTTAAACCACTACGCCATCCGTGCAGTCAAAAAATCTGTAACTTCAAAGAGAATTTTAAACTATCATCATTTTATTTTTCAGAGGTGTAAATAAAGTAGGTTGCTGGCTACTGACGCCTCGATCAGTCCAGACCCCTGGTGGCAAGATAGAGACACACACCAAATTCCAATGGCTCATGTGCTGTGACCTTAAAGGTAATTTTAATTTCTGTTTAATATTTTCAAGCTTAATTTCTTCTAGAAGTTAATGGTTTTTTAATAGGAACTCCTCACGAATCATCCCACCATGGTTTCGGTAGCTGTTCGGTCCTACGACGTTCGGCACTCCTCTCTCTCCTCTGAATGGAGGTCTCCAGGAGCGCCAATCATACCGGTCTTGGTCAGAAAACGACAGAATTACTAAACATCGGTTTCCTGTGAGGCCGTGTTATCACTCTAGTCGAACTTGACTCGTATGCCACATCATCACCTTTGTTTGGCCTACTATAGCTACAACGCTGGCGAGACGGGTTGGTATAGGATTTGTGTCAAGTTTTCCTTCTCTTTGCAGTGCTGTTGTCCTGCGTAGTTTGCTCTCTTAGACGGCCCTAACGACACCCACGGGATGAATAGGGGTGGTGACGGTCCGTATTCTTAATCCGTCTCGTATGTGTCACTGTTTACTCCCTTCCTAGCCATATCCTCACTCATACAATCCATCCACCACCAGGTTTTTCTTTGGACTTCCCCTTCACTTGGCCACATTTTCCTTATCCCTCTGCATGACATGTCCATACCAAGATAACCTATTACTTCTTAACTTTTCATCCAGTGGCGCTACTTTCAGACTCCCTCGTATATACTCATCACTGACTTTGTCCATCCGAGTCACACCACAAACCACAGATTAACAATATTAACATTAAATAAACTCTTTTTAAATTTCCAGGTAAAATTCCCCAGTTCGTGCTTGACGCTGCCTTCGCAACTTTGATGCTGGATTACATAGTGCATGTGAGAAAATACGTGGCAGATTGTAAAGCTAAGGGACGATTTTAAATTATCACTGTGTGGGTGGAATTAGTTCTATATGAGGGGTGAGTGATTTAAGTAAAGGGTGAAATGTAAAGATTGAATGTTTTTTTAAGAAAGCTAAAGAATACTTAAAGCTAAGAATTTTTTAAGTTTTGTTGTTGGTACAGTCAGCAACATAAGTGGACAGTCGTCTCGTTTCGTAATATTTAATTATATTTACAAGAATTAATGCGCTCACGGTAGGTATTACGTAAATGTCTTGGAATTACCTGACGTTTTGTTTTGACAGACAGCCTGTGACCACGGCCTGGTGCAAAATAATTTTAGCAAACGTGGATAGCTTCATAACAAGCCATTCTAAAAACTATGTATAAAACAGGGTTCAAGGAATTTGACGACGCGAGAAAGAGAATTAAACAAATTTTCCGTATGCGGTTCCTTAATTTTCAACATGGAAAAGAATATTCCAGAATATTTTAAGTAATGTGATGGATTAATTTATTGATATGTAACATTATTTCCTCTTTAGTTTAATCTGTGGCCGGTACTGTTGGAACCTCATTTAACCAAAATGATTCACCAACAACACGAGTAGATGGCGTGACTTGTAGTCAAAAGTGCTACTGCCCAGTAACGGTTAAAAATGATTATGACTGGCTCAGAGTTCTGACTGTAACATATTTAAAAATACAATACAATATAGTACAGTACACAATTTATGCATTTACAAAATATATATTTCCTTATTTTAATAAGATACCTCTTTTAATTATGTTGATTTAAAAAAAAAACAAATTCTTATTTACACACTATGAGAAATATAACTAGTCTTTTTAGTCGATTTTGTGTTTTCGATCGCATATGTTATTAGAACATAGTGGATTTTTAAAACTAAAAAAATAATCTTCTCCAAAAATATTCATTGGCTTTACCTTATTAAATACTAGCTTTTGCCCGCGGCTCCCCCTGAATTGAATTTGAATTATATACAGAGGTGTCGGTAAGGGTAACTTCCAAGGTAAAGGGTTTTTTCCATAAAAGACATTCTTTTGTTTGTTGTTCAAAAATACCCAACGCGCCCAAAGAAGTTTTCATAAAGAAGGAGTGAAATAGATTTTTTCTGTGTTTGTGTAATTTATGTACAATATGTATATATTTAGTAATATATAAGTATGTTTATCAGCAGTCTGGTTACCATAGTACAAGCTCTACCTAGTTTGGGATCAGACGGCCGTGTGTGAGATGTGTGAGGTTATTATTAATGTTCTGGAAACTTCCGAGTTCAATTTTCATTTATACACACTTGGTGTATTCACACAACTCAAATTGTTGTTCTGAGTCTGGGTGTTCTGTGTGTCCGTTGCATGTATGTTTGTAAAGTCCCCCGCGACACAGGATATATTCCTAATGCGGGAGTTGTTATTTTAAATTGGTGATGAAAAGCACATTATGCTAGGTAGTCTGAATGGGTTTTTATGTTGGTTATATCATCATTATCAACAGCCTTTAATAGTCCACTGGACATATAAAATTTTAAAAATATTGAAAAGTAACAATTTGAAGCTCTAACCGCCCCCCTCCTCGCGCACCCTCCTGACTCTGGGATGAGGGACTCAAATTCGGCAACGCATTTATGAGTCTGGAGGTTGTCCATAGGCGATGGTAGTCCCTTACCATCTGATGACCTGTGTGCTCTATTGCCTGCCCTATACATGAAACTAAAATGTATATACATTCAAATAAAATTCTGAATTGACGCTACAGTGGCACGACTAATTGTTTGCTACATTAGGTTAACACAAATTAATAAATAAAACACTTTCCTAACAATGTATATAAATTAATTAAGCTTATGTAATTAATAAATTAAGTTTAAACTGACGTTAACTGGTAATTATGATTTAAGTTTTAATTAAATATAAAATTGCCTCATTCAAAAATGATTCGTTTCTCACATCATGTATATAAAAAAATATATTGTATATCAATTTATATATATATAAATATATAAAAACATTTGTTTTTGTACATAGTCAGTGTTAAAATTAATTTTGGTGTATTGAAAACTGTCATTATAAATATGTAACATCATCAATAGCCTTTAATAGTCCACTGCTGGACATAGGCTTCTGCTTAGAACGGAGGTTTTGGCCTACTATACCACGCTGGCCAGACGGGTTAATGAATAATATATAACAATGAACTCTAAACTCAATTAATTTTTTAAACGCGAATTTATGAGATTGTGAATGTGTTGGTTTCTTCGAATTCTTTTCTTCACTGCTTTTCGTACGAATACTACGTGGACGACTTGATCTTTGTCCTGGCATACAACAACAATAATAACAACCTGCCTACCCTACTTTGTGTAATCACAGCAATTCGGGTCTCTTTATCACCCCACTCCATTTTAATATCACAAAAATATTAGACACCAAAACAGACATGACAGATTCTAAATTCAAATGCAATATTATGGTTTCTTTTAATTGTAATAGTATTAATGGCCAGACTAAGTACATATATTACAAACAGCCATATCCTTATAGGAAGTGCTAAAATCATAGAGAGAATACGGGGGACAACTGCCTGTAAGTGTAAGAGATACAGGCAACGAGAGAGACGGATATCCGATAGATCCCTCTGTCTCTGTTTAGCTAAGCTGCTATTGGCTATCGTAAAGTGGACATGGTTTTGATCGTAGAATAGGCGGGAGATTAGAAACTTCCCCAGCCAACCACAGAGTTCGACTAGAAAGAGATAAAGGGAACTATCTGTTATCCATCTCTCTCTTTGCCTATATAGTAAGATTGAGGCTATGCTTATATCTCTATGGTTAAAAAAACGTATTGTCTATACTATATCGGCTTTTAAATTATTATATTTATTTAACTTACTTGTTTTGTTTTGTATCTTTTTTATTTTTTTATACGAAAATAAATCAAAGTGATGTCTGTTTTTCTTCTACATGAAACTCAAAATTACTGTATCATTTTGAATAGTGTTATCTTGCTAAAGTCTTACTGTCCACTGTTGCTTTGGATATATCTTATAAACAATATTATTTTGGTGCGACTATCAGCTATCAGACAAGCTGTAATTAACATTATTATTCTCAATCCTCACAAAAATGACATTATTTTTTTAAAAACCTGACACCAAAGTACTAAAAAACAGTACTATTAATGTAAGTTGGTTCGTGTAATAAATCTCTGACTGACACTACTGGTAAAAAGAAACTGACTGACGTTTTTATCCGACTTTAAGAATTAAATTCTTGATTCGACTGTATTTTATTTCTTTTTTTTTTTTTAATATAGAACAGACAGGATCTTCCTTCGAGCTTTTCCGTGTTAAATCAATTTGTTACGGTTTTGACTATCCAATAAAAACATACTCTTTATTGTATCTCATTTACGGTAAAATTTTCATCCTCATTACCTGGATAGTTGGCGCTCCACTACTGTGCGCTTTTCGAGACACTTTTTGCCCCGCACAACCGATCTGTGGAACGGGTTATCATCTGCGGTATTTCCGGACCGATACGACCTTCAAACCTTCAATAAAAGAGCGTACTCCTTCCTAAAAGGCCGGCAACGCGTTTGTGACTCTTAAGTTGCAGACGTTCATGGGCGGCGATAGTCACTTTCCATCAGGTGACCCGTCTGCTCGTCTGCCCCGTCTAACATAAAAAAAAATTACAGGGTTCCTTAGTTCTAAAAAGAAACCGTTATAACTGCGCCATCTTCGCCCGTCTGTCTCCGGCTTAGCTTGGTGTCTATTAGTTTTATATATCTATATTCTTGACTTGATAGTTTTCCTTCCTCCGAGCCTTTTTTCTACGTTGGGGTCGACTTTAAGTCTAATACGATACAGTTGAAGTTCGATTGTTTACGTGGAGCGACTACCATCAGACCTCCACAACCCAAGTAGGAATATTAAAGTTCCGTAAAAAGACTGTTGTTGATTCTTTTAGGGTTCCAACTACCCGTAACGATTGCCACAGATGTTTATATGGCAAACAGACTTTGGATATGCTCTCAAATATCTTCGCACCCCCCTCTAAGAACTATTCAAAGAACACCATTCAGTCAACGCCATTCCTTATAAGCAGCTACCGCTTGCCTAAAAATATTACACGAACATGAATCCTGTATAGAAATAAAGAACGAACAAAGTATAAACAATATCTATTAAACTGATAATAGCATATTCTATAATTATACTTTGTTTTATTACAAAATGAATTTACCAATTTTAGTAAATAATTGTTTTTTTTTAACTTTTGGTTCTATATCCTAGTCATAGTATCATGTTCTTCTGATTCGTTCTACCACCACTAGATGGCGTTGTACTACATTTAAGCTGGAATGCATTTTAGTCCCATATAATATAAAAGTATTGGGTCCAAATTCCTTTTTGTTTTCCGTTCTACACGTCTTTCTAATTTTTATAGTACAATTAATAATATTTTTTCCATAAATAAATAAGACAAATATTAAATGTATTTATTAAAATTGGTAATAAATTTATAAAATAACATAGTACATATATTTATTGATAATTATGTAAGTTAATGTACCTATAATTTTAGTATTAAGTAATAAACGATTTTTATATCAACTGTATTATGTGTTATTTATTTTATTCTACACACCCCCTTATCACATCATCATCATCATCACATCAACAGCCTTTAATAGTCCACTGCTGGACATAGGCCTCTCCTTAGAAATAAGGTTTTGGCCTACTATACCACGCTGGCCAGACGGGTTCTTATAGGGTTTGTGTCAAGTTATCCTTCTTTTTGCAGTGCTGGTGTCCTGCGTTGTTTTGCGCCCTTAGTCGGTTCTTACGACACCCACGGGATGAATTGGGGTAGTGACATTCCGTATTCTCAATCCGTCACTACACGGACATATGTACACCCCCTTCTGTACCTAATAAATAGAAATATAGTAAGAATTGTTTGTAAAACCAAAAGAAAGTAGTAGTAACGTCATAGGTCTCCGGTTCGATTAACG